CAACGTTTGTGGAAGGCCCAACTGGTCCAGCTTCTTCCCCACCAGGAGACTATGCTGGGATTCTTCTTTCAGGGCTGCCGGGAAAACAAAGGAGCCCTCAGTCCAGGCTGGAAAAGCAGTGCTAAGGATCAGTACAGTCTGTTCTGCCCCAAAATGAGGAGGGGCAAATGTGAGGCTGATACTGCTGGTTAAAGGCCCCAAACACGCAGGTGCCTAGCATGTGATCAGCTGGGATTGTATAGATCTGCTGGTCTAGCACAGGAAACATTCAAGACGGATATGTTTCCATGCATTGTATTTCCATGTATTTATTCATACCCCACTTAGGAATCAAAGGAGGGTAGAACATTGTTGTCTCCTCCTCTATTTTCTCACAAGAACCCTGTGAGGTAGGCCAGGCTGAGAGTTTCTGACGGGCCCAAGGTCACCAGCAAGCTTCCATGAAACAAGTGGGGATTTGAACTCTGGTCTCCCAGGATCCTAGCCTGACAGCTTATCCACTAAGCCATGCTGAATCTTGATGCCGTCATCTGGATCTTTTAAATGCAGGCAGAGCTTCTCTATGTCTGGAAATATAATGTGCAACTTGCCTCTCAAAGGCTGAGCGCAAGCGACTGCAGTAAGAGACTGCCCAGGTGAAAAATGGGTAACTGCTGCACTGACTGTGTGCAATCCTAAACAGAATTACGCCCTTCTAAGCTCACTGAAGTCAACCGGCTTAGGAGGATGCAGTTCTGCTTAGGATGGCACTGCCAGGCAACCTGTTCCCAAGGCTGCACTACTTAAAGAAACTTGTTGCAGCAGACTGAAGACAGGACTGACAAAAACGGGATCCTGGCTTCCCGAGCAGACAGCGAGAAGCAGCCTTTGATCTCTTCTGCTCCCCAAGCAATGAGCTGTGTCAGCATCCCAAACGGCAGGTGCAAAACCTAAAATGGCTCCAAGAAGTGGAATTCTGGAGACTACCTGTCTGAGCCTAAATGATTTCCACAAAGCTCCACAGCACCCCTACTGCAAGAAAGTGATCTATCAGGGGAGGATGGGATATATATATATGAAGCTGCCTGATAACTGAATCAGACTACTAGTCCATCAAGGTCAGCAAGGTCTCAGGCAGAGGTCTTTCACATCACCTTTCACTTGGGTGCCTTGAACCTGTCATCATCTGTATACCAAGCAGGTGCTCTACCACTAAGCCACAGCTTGGGATTGGTGGCAGGGAACAGGGCTCTTATAACAACAAGGATGGCCAACCTGCTGACTTGGACTTGGAAAACCCTTTTCTTGCCTGACCCCAAAATGTCGCCATCAGTGAAAGCTAGGAATAGCTGGTTAAGCCCTCGAGCCAACTCTCCTCCAAGTGTCCTACCTCACCTTCCTCCTCTCCGTGGTTGGGGTTTTGCTGGGGCTCAGAGTCTTGGATGGGCAGAGGCTTGTCTGGCTCTGGCAGGAGAGAAATCCCATCGATGAGCTCCTCCACCCCATCCAGGAGGTCATTGGAGCACAGCTGGAACAAGAGGCAGCAAAAGAAGAAACACAGCCAGGCATGTCAGGAGGTGGAGAATGCAACAGAGAATGCCACAGTCAAAAACATGGCCTAGGATCCCGCCTGTATGACGGTATACCTCCACCCCATAAGTTTACTAGATGTTCGGCGCCATTGCCAGTCAACCTACGGCCCAAACTGGCTACACAAATCTGCTGAACAGCCACCAAAAATTGTTATTTTTTATGCTTAATCAAAGAAAAGAGAAACAGCAACAATGCATATTTCAGGCTAGATTCAGGAAATGCATCCTAAGGGTGAGTCCAGCAGGATGGCGGAAGACTTGGTTTGAAGGGCATGGGGGCAACTGCTGCCCTTGGAGACTTTCAAGCAGGAGTTGTACCTCTATGAGAACTGGGAGGTGTTTCTCCTGGAGGGACCCCTTCAATTGTTTGGTCTGTTCTCCTGAATCAGTGGCTCCTGATAAACCATAACGAGAACCCTCCCCGGCAGATGCATGAAAGGGAATGCTTCAGAACAGTAGGTTTTGCTCAGACAATGTACAGCTGAATAAGACTGGTTGGCAGAACCTCTGGCTTGCACTTCAAGACCCAGGATGAAAGAAATCTGCCATCAGTCAAACCTACCCTCTGCAACTGGCAATCGACACGCCACATCCGCAGTGTCTGATCTCGAGACCACGTGACCAGCTGGTAGTCCTTGGAGCCTGCAAGGACAAATGAAAATACACGTCAGATATAATTTACAACTGGCCAGCTTTAAGGCTGTAAAGGGAAGGAGAAAACAGGGGTGTGGGAGAATCAGGCTGTGGGAAATGTGCCTTAGCCCCACATTTTCAGACACAGATGGAATACTTGAATTCTACCATTTAGAAGGCAAGTAGCTTGCCTGCAAGCTGGAACCAACAGAGGGCACAGTGTAACTGTCATTGGGGAGTATACAGAAGTGATCTTGCAGATATGTGCTCCTCAGGCTGTGATAAGCTTTTAAAAGGAAAGAACAGACAACTTATCCTATCTTGATTCTCAAATTTCCTCATCCAACTTTGTTACGATTTGGTTTCCCATTATGGATTGCTTAGTAAAACAAGATGGAATTCCTAATATGATTGATGATCTACGTCTGTTCTAATTGTAAAGTATTTCAGATACTCTTATCTTAATGAAATCTATGGATCAATACGTATTTAGATTGATATCATATGTTCATCTCATTAATTTATGCTATACTTCTGGTGTTGTACTATTTAATTTTGTTTTCTTCATCTGTATTGTGGTTTTGAAAATTTACAATAAAACGTAAATTTTTTTTAAAAAAAGGTAAGAACCAAGTTCCCTGTGCTCAGAAACAGATAGGCAAGCCAGGGCAGCACTTACAAAACAGATGTAATAGGCATATCTTCATGGGCCCCAAAGGTCTGTGCAAATTATTTGTTTGGTAGGTGAGGGGTGTGGCAATGCTCAGGGAAGGCACACAGCGGCAGGTGAGAATCTGTGGCTCACTTCAGCTTTACTCTTGGCCGGTGAGAAGGCACAACCCGGCAGCCGCAGGCACGAACAGACACAAACTGCTGCTTGCAGATTTCCCATACGGAGCTTTAGGTGTAGTTAAAAGGAGAATAATGGGGAGACTATTATTATTTTTGTGTATTTATATCCTACTCTTTTCTCCATGGGAACCTAAAATGGCTTGAACATATGAAGCAGCCCTATGCTGAGTCAGACCCTTGGGTCTATCAAGGCCAGTACTGTCTACTCAGACTGGCGATGGCTCTTCAGCAGAGGTCTTTCAAGTCACCTATGAAGAGGTCCACTTAACTGGAGATGCTGGGAATTGAACCTGAGACCTTCTGCATGCAGAGCAGATGCTCTACTACTGAGCCACAGCCTCTCCCTCATACAATATTTTATTTATTTATTTGATTTATGAACTGCCCTCCCCATCAGCAGGCTCAGGGCGGTTTACATCAATCTTAATATAATACAATTAAAACACATTAAAACATCAATTTAAAACAGAATAGAATCATAAAATACCACGTAAACAGATTAGATGAAACATCAACCAGATTAATGAAGGTACAACAGTGGGTACCCTGATATCTATTTGGATCCAGGCCACTGATGGGAGATTGGCCAGGAGAGGGGAAGGGCATCCGCTACCTCAACGAAAAGCCTGGTAGAAGAGCTCCATCTTGCAGGCCCTGCAGAACTGTAATAGATCCTGCAGGGCCCTGATTTCAGATGGGAGCTCATTCCACCAGGTAGGGACCAGGGCCGAGAAAGCCCTGGCCCTGGTTGTGGCTAGCTGGACGTCCCTGGGGCCGGGAACTGTTAAAAGATGTTGATTTGTGGACCTCAGTGCCCTATGGGGCTCATATGGGGAGAGGCGATCTCAAAGGTATGCTTGGCCCCTGGCCGTATAGGGCTTTAAAGGTAAGCACCAGCCTTGAAACAGATCCGGAATTCAATAGGCAGCAAGTGAAGTTCACGCAGCAAAGGGTGGATACGAGCCCACACAGGTGTCGCTGTCAACACCTGTGCTGCCGCATTCTGCACTAGCTGCAACTTCTGGAGCAGTCAAGGGCAGCCCCACGTAGAGAGAGTTACAATAGTCCAGTCTGGAAGTGACCATTGCATGGGTCACTATAGCTAGGTCCTGGGGGGTGAGATATGGGGCCAACTGCCCCACATCTCTTCCCCTCCATTTTATTCTCCGGGTAGGTTAGAATGAAAGAGACTGACTGCCTCATTGTCACGCAGTGAAATTTCCATAGCAGAATGGGTTTCAAACCTGTGTCTCCCAGATCCTAAGATCAACACTCTAATGACTATACCATGCCACATCTAAGGCCGGAAACGGACTTTTTCTGTTGGCAGCAACAAAAATACTTCTAAAATAGTTTAAAGAAACTGATCCACTGGCCTGTAGCTTTTAAAAACATGCAATAGGACTAATGTATTGAAATTAACATACATGATCAGATTCCTGGGAAGGAACAACAAAGAATGTGTGAAAACAGTGAGAGAAAGTCTTGAGTTTTCTAGCCATATTCAACTGGATTTCAGTGTGTTGAAAGACTGCCGATTAACTCTCTTATTCCTAAGATTTTTTTAAAAAAATATTATTTCCATTTATATCCCGCCCTTCCCGCATTCGGGCTTAGGGCGGCTCACAGCAATAAATATAATACAGTCTTAAAATAATTCAATCAAATAATAAATAACAATATAGAATCAGTACAGTAAAACCAGTTTAAAACATTTAAAGTGGGCAGAGCAATATATTCAGTTCCTACAGTCGGGGAATTAGTGGGCCAACACTGAGACACGAGGATCTCATCCAGCTGCAACAGGGAGGCCAGCCGGTAGGTGCCCACTGCCTCAGCCAAAGGCCCGGCGGAACAGCTCCGTTTTGCAGTCCCGGCAAAACTGTAACAGATGCTGTTATGTATTTGTATTAACTGAGTGGAAGAAATCTTCTCTAAGGAAAATAAATAGATGAAAACCCAGAGTGCCAAAAAAAGACAGAAAAATCGCTCCTACGGTCCCTGCACAAATCTTGGGGCGGGGGCGGGGGTGGGGCTGTCTCGCAACCTTCTATCCCAGGTTCCAACCACAGTTTTGAAAATCCATTTATTATGGCGATGCTTCCCTTTTGGAACACCCTTCTCTTGAGCCTATCCATATGGTGTTGAGTTTGTGGGACTTTAGGTACCAAATGAAGGCAGTTTTGTTTCCTTATGCCTTTCTGGATGGTTACTTCATACCCCTTGCCTGGTTCTTACAAGCCCTGGTGTTACTGTTTTTCCTGTGCCATTGCTCTTGTTTTCATATTGATCATTCTGGTTTTGCTGTTGGGATGTACAATGTAGGCTGTAACATAACAGGTTTAGTATTACCACTGGTGTGGCCTTTTTTTTTTCTTTTTTAAATTGTTCACTTCATCTTTCATGTACCTTCTTTCTGCTTCCGCCACTGGAATTCTAGCACCACGTCATCGTGCCCTACGAAGGTGTGAACGGGCGTGTTCAGGTCAAAGATATTCCAGAGCAGAAGACTGTTCTCCCGTCGTAGCTGGGGGACCATCACAGTCACCAGCCCATTGCTGAAAGGCTAAGAGGAAGAACAGGGAAAGCTTAGTAGCCCAACCCAGGGACTTTGAGAAGTCTGAAACCCCACTTTCCCCCAGGTAGAAGAAAAGGTACACATGCATTTTTCATAACGATTGAGGTGCCCAGCTGCTGGGGGAACAGAACAGACTGTGTGCACTAGCCATTACATTCAGCAACAGCAATAAGGTTTTCATTAACTTCTTTCAAGCTTCTGGGTTGCTTTGGGAGACAAGCTGCTCCACCTCATTTCTATAGCCTCATGCTCCACATTATCTGATTCACATTCATTTCTACACTGAGAACAAGATTCTGTCTTCAGTTTCACCTAGGAGGCTTGAAGCAGGTTATTATTACTATACTTGGCCCTAGAGGAAGGTGTCACCTGCCTAGAAGGGGAACTGTAGCTGTGGGCAAGTTTGACATAGTTGCAACTCTTTGCAAAATTAATCCACTCTGTTTCAAGGAAACGCTAAAAGGCATGCTTGAAAAAGCATTCCCAAGCCAGCAGGATGACTGCATACTGGGCCATGGGAAAAAACATGGGGCAACACCTATCCCCTCTTCGCTAGATGCAAGCTGCACACACACCCTTCATCTCACACAAACAGAGAGTGGGTAAATGGGACCAGTGGCTGATTCCCTAATGCCTGGTGGAATCCTCTCAAAGATCTATTTGCAGCCTCCTCACTGCTCTATGTCATTCAGACCTCACTTCGACCTTGCATGGTATATTTTGGGGCTCCCCCCGCAAGCCTACCCACTATTTTTTCAACAGGGCTGAAATGTTTTGGCTACAATCCCACGAATGGTTCCCTGGTAATGATCCTCACTGAATAAAACAGAGCTCACATCTAAGCAAACATGCTTGGGACTGTGCTCTCCACTGATTAACCGAAAAGGGCAACTAGAATGATAAAAGGGTTAGAACACTCTCCCTATGAGGAAAGGTAAAGCGCTTGGGGCTCTTTAGCTTGGAGAAACGACGGCTGAGGGGTGACATGATCAAGGTTTATAAGATTATGCATGGGATAGAGCAGGTAGAGAAAGAAGTACTTTTCTCCCTTTCTCACAATACAAGAACTTGTGGGCACTCAATGAAACTGCTGAGCAGTCGGGTTAGAACAGATAAAAGGAAGTACTTCTTCATCCAAAGAGTGATTAACACTTGGGATTCACTGCCACAGGAGGTGGTGGCGGCTACAAGCATGGACAGCTTCAAGAGGGAATTAGATAAGCATATGGAGCAGAGGTCCATCAGTGGCTATTAACCACAAGGTATAGATAGGAACTCTCAGTCTGGGGCAAGTGATGCTCTGTATTCTTGGTGCTGGGGACGGACGGACAATGGGAGAGCTTCTAGTGTCCTGGTCCCACTGCTGTACCTCCTGATGGCACCTGGTATTTCTGGCCACTGTGTGACAGAATGTTGGACTGGGTGGGCCATTGGCCTGATCCAACATTGGCTTCTCTTATGTTCTTATGTTCCTAACAGGTTAGAGGATCAGTAGTCTTCAACCATGGCAGACCTTGGACCCAGGCAGTATGGGACCCCCTGAGCTGATAAGAAAGTGATGGGAAGTCACATGACATCCAAGTTACATGCCAGTCCAAGGGGAAGCTGGGGCTCTGAGACTTTGCCAGTGTCCAGGTGAGGACTATGGGCGACAGGGCTGGAGAGCCGGGGGCGGGAAACACAAGGTGAACACCAGTGAAGTATACCCACAGTGAGGTATACCCACAGTGAAGACTCAAGTCAAGGGTTTGTGCCATGGAGGAATTCTCTCCACCACTGTGTGGCCTGGTTATGCCATGCCAACACTTCTCTCAGTGTGCACACAAGGAACAGCAACCCCCTCCTAAAGGCAGCAAAAAGATCCACTCTCCAGGAGCTCTGGATCAACATGTGAGCTAACCGAGGGTCTCAAGCCTTGGGTTGAAAACCAAAAGGTTTAGCTTAAAAGCCTTCTCACTGACTTAAAAAGTACTCTCAATTCACTGGGAAACTCTTTTTAAAACCCTCAATTATTTTTAATACAAATGCATCTTCCAAGACAGGCTTTCCAAGATCACTGCATGCAGCTCAGAACAAACAAAAAAGTATTTGTTTACTTTAGAACTGCTGTTCATTTATATGCAAATTAATTAAAATGTGTATAATCAAAAGACTAAGATTCATCTTCGATTAGTTGCCAGCCCTAGTATTAAATGCACAAAGTGAATATTCAGGGTGCATTAATAGTTACAGTGTAATTTGCACTAACTGGTCCTGTGAATCCATCCTTGCTTAATAGATCTTTGAGAGGATGCCACTAGACATTAGGGAATCAGCCAGTGGTCCCATTTACCCCCTCTCACCTTTTAGCAGTGATTCCCTCGCATCCCTCCTGCCCCACCTTACAAAAGAGACCCTTACCGTATATCTGGCCTTCCAGACTGGAACCTGGCAAGGCAAGATGTTGAGGTATTTTCGGGGCTGTCGGTAGTCCCAGAACTTCAACGAATTGAAAAACAGAAACAAGGCAGTTCAGGAGAAGGATGCTTAACACTGGTACACTCTCAGAAGATCACAGCATGCAATACACACCACAGTGCTAAGAGCTTGGGACTGGGCTCACCTTCAATGGCCCAGGACAAGGACAGCCAGCATGGAGAAGTGGCTAGAGTGTAGCACTAGGATCCAGGAGATCCAGGTTCGAATCCCCACTCTGCCATGGAAGCTTGCTGGGTGACCTTGGACTAGTCACATACACTTAGCCTAACCTACCTCACAGGTTTGCTGTGAGGATAAAATGGAAGAGAACGATATAAGGTCCTTCAGGTTCCCATTGGGGGGAAAGGTGGGGTGCAAATAAATAAGCAAGGGCAATGCAGGGCGTCATCCCGCTCCAGGTGGCATCACCATTTATCTTCTGAAGGTTTATCAAAATGGGAAACAGGGAAGAGCTTCCACTTTAGAAGTACTCCTGGACCTAAAGCAATCAAATTTCTAGACTGCTGCTGCTGCTGCCATCCCTAGAGCATGGGTCAGAAGGTTCCCCAGGCTGTGACTGGTCTATGAACAGTGACCACAATGTTATTGAGTTTAACATTTGTATAAATAGGGAGTTGCCCAAAAAGACTGATAGGACCACTTTTAACTTTAAAAGGGGTAACTTCTCTGATATGAGGGGACATGTGAGGAGGAAACTGAAAGGAAAAGTAGAAAGGGTCTATGAACAGTGACCACAATGTTATTGAGTTTAACATTTGTATAAATAGGGAGTTGCCCAAAAAGACTGATAGGACCACTTTTAACTTTAAAAGGGGTAACTTCTCTGATATGAGGGGACATGTGAGGAGGAAACTGAAAGGAAAAGTAGAAAGGGTCAAAACCACTGGGGAAGCTTGGTGACTATTTAAAACTACAATCCTAGAAGCTCAGAAAAAATACCGCAAGTTAGGAAAGGCACAAATAGGTATAGAAAAAAGCCTGCATGGTTAACAAGCAAAGTAATGGAAGCTGTAAAAGGTAAGAAGTATTCCTTCAAGTGGTGGAAAGCTAGTCTCGGTGAGGTTGATAAAAGGGAACACAGGCTGTGGCAAATAAAATGCAAGTCTGTGATCAGGCAGGCAAAAAGGGAATATGAGGAGCATATTGCAAAAAACATAAAGACCAACAATAAAACTTTCTTCAAATACATTAGAAGCAGGAAACCATCCAGGGAGGCAGTGGGGCCCTTGGATGACCAGGGAGTAAGGGGAGTGCTGAAGGATGATGGGGAAATGGCGGAGAAGCTGAATGCGTTTTTTGCCTCTGTCTTCACTGTGGAAGATGAGAACTGCTTGCCCACTACAGAACCACTAATTTCGGGAGGGGTGTTGAAAGACCT